AGCCCCAAGCCCCAAGCCCTAAGCCCTAAGCCCTAACCCCTAAACCCTAACTAAACCCTAAGAGTTTAGGCTACTGGACCCGGAGCCCAGAACACACGCTACGGACGACAAAGACATCTTTGCCGACGCAGGAAGCGTGCGCGTTCGGAAGTTCTTTGTCAGGGCTGGTCAACATCATGGGCCTGCTTGGCATCCTAAACTGCAGAAAGTTTGCATCCTAAACTGCCGGAATTTGGAGAGAGGATCAACAGGGCCCATCATTGACATCAACGCGTCCCTAGGCGAAAGCTCGGCGAGTACCTGGAGGAGGCCGGGCTGTGCCATGTGCAGTGCGCACAAGCTAGCGGTAGGCAGGGGTTTTTTCGTAAGCCCTAAACTCTGAACCCCAAAACCCCCCTCTCCAACAAAGGAGAGGCAAAACACTCAACCCTCAACTGCCCTAAACCCTATGAACCGAGCACCAGACGGATGGCTTTCTAAACCCTAAGCCTAAGCCCTAAACCCTAAACCCTAAACCCGAAACCCTAAACCCTAAACCTGCAAGCAAGAAGTCTTTACAAAGCAACCCATGGAGACATTCCGACTTCAAGGTCCGAGCTTGGGCCGCTTGCTGGGATTGTTTTTTTTTTATATATAAAGATTTTGTAAAAAATGTACATAATATGAAATAAACATGTATAGTAATAAGTTTTAGTAAGTAATGTACAGAATATGATAGAAGCATATATAGTAGCAAAAAATGAGAAGTGTTATGGTACCTTATCATACAGCATGAATTATCCGTATAGTACTGTACTACATGATCGCGTCGATTTATTTGGCACGCTCGTTACCAAGCAGATGTGACGCAGGACTTATATTACCGGGGGCACAAGAAATCCTAAACCCTAAGTCCCAAACCCTAAGCCCGAAACCCTAAGCCCTAGACCCTACTTCATGTGGCGAGGCGCGCGGCTACGACTGGAACTTGCTGTATGTTGGGTACGCGGCCCGGTTCTGGGATCGGGCTCGTTGAAAGAATGGGGGAGTGCATCCAGGTGTTAGGGTTTAGGGTTTAGGGTTTAAGGTTTAGGGTTTAGGGTTTAGGGTCCCAAGAGAATGCCCCCTCCAAGCCCATACACACTCAGATCTTTGCCCAGCAGTGCGGGTCGACCCATCTTTACGAGAACAGCCCTGAAAAGTTGGTCCCGAGAGCGATTCCTTTCAGCAATGCCTCTGGCAAAAGGTTTTTTTTTGCGTTCTGGTGTCAGACGGAGAAGGCGCTTTCTCCTGTAAACACCCAATGCTCGACACTGGCAACTCTGAATGGTGAGGCGACCGTCCCACTCAAAGTGGCATCCTGGGCCGGACGAAGCACTTGCGTCGCACAAGAGTCTGCGGAGGAGCCCAAGCTGACCGGGCCTTTTGAACGGCCCGGTCGAGAGCTGCCCCGAGGACAAGCAAGTCTACGTCCGAGCATTCTACAAGGACTTGGAGGGGAGAGAGCGCTCCCTCCTGACGCTGACACGACAGGTTAGCATCACTTGCCATGGACAGATTGGGGAGACGCCACGCTGCGCTAATGCCGAGTCCCCTGAAGGCCTTGCCTCTCGCTCATCTCCCCTTTCACTGACTCCTACATTTTGTTAGAACAGGATTGTTGCGTTTCGCTTGGAGGAGTTTGCGTTTCCTGTAAAAAATAAACAGCATGCGGCTCGATTCGTTTCGTGTTGTGTTTCCGTCCGAAAACGTACCTTGATTCGGTTTGTGAAGCCCCGAGGCCTCTTTCCAAGAAGACCCCACGCCAAAAACGTACCCTGACTCGGCCTTTTTGAGGCCAGCACGGTAGCTAAGAAGGTACATTTTCCGCGCGGGCTTCTTCCCAAGAAGGCTCTGCGCCGAAGACGTACCCTGATGCGGGGTTTTGAGGCCAGGAAGGCACCGAAAAGGGCGCAGGCCTCTTCCCAACAAGGCCCCGCGCCGAAAACGTACCCTGATTCGGCACCCAAAAAGGGGCGGTTTCGGGAGCATGTTTAAAAACTTTGCTGGAGAACTGAGGTCACAATGCCTGCCTTATGTTATCATCCTAATGTGTTCTGTGATGGACGGCCTGCCTCATCAGTGTTCTGGTTCGAATATGTTGGCTGTTGGCATGGAGATGGGTCCATTCCTAGGTAGATCATCCCTGCGTCAAGCTCCCATGCTTGCTGCGTGATTGTTGGCCAGGTAGTTGTTGGGCGTTGGGAATGTCGGGGTGTGGGCTTTGCGGGACGCGTGCTGGTGTTTGTCAGACAACCGATGAGCTGTCCTGCACGTGCGCTAGTCGTGAGAGTCGAAACCGGCTGCTGCAGAAGCTGGCTGCTGCAGAGAGTGAGGGCAAAAAAAAGAACCTAAGCCCTAAAACGTCTCAGCTAGAGGCTAGGTAGGGTGGGCCTCTGGGACTTTGAGGTTTTGGGGGTGACAGGGGATGCAGACATCGTTCAGGTTGGCTTTCACATGTTGGGCTCCCTCTGCCGTAGTGTAAACTCTTGCAAGCTACCTTCCAAGCCCCGAAGACTTGAATGCCTCAAGCCCCGTGAGTGCATTCCCGAATCTTCTATAGGCGAACTACTTGAACCTTTCCGAACCGGATGTTCGAATTGTGTCACGTGGTAAATGGTATTAAAGCAACAGAATGATGGCTAAAGGCGGAGCCCGACCGAACCGGACTGGACGCGGCTGTCGAAGCACGTCGTCGAGCCGGGCTACACCCTTTGGACGGTGCGCCCTCAGGATTATCGGGCTTTTACGGCCCAAAACTCTAAACCTTATTGTCAGGTCGACCTTATCTGCGTCCTTGAGCCTTAAAGCTTCGCAGAATCCCTCTTTCAAGCAATGGCTGGTATGGGCACGGGGGGTTTGTCCTTCGACTCTTGTGGCACGCCATACCCAAACCCCACACTAGGCCCCCCCCCCCCCCCCGTTTTTGACCTCCAGTGTCCCTTAGTCCCTTTGGTTCCAAGTTGGAACGGCTCCGGAGCTCCACTTCTTCAGCGACTTTTCACAGAATATGGAGACAGAGAGAGAGAGAGATATATATATATATATGTGTGTATAATACAGTATATATATATACATATGGTGCTGCAGCAGTCTTTCGGGTTTCGAAGCTTGGGAAGGTCGGCTACATCATGCGCCTCGATGGCGCCAAAGCATTGTTGGACGCCCAGGTTGAGGCGGGGGCTAGGGCCCCAAGTCGCCTGTGATTCGATGCTTTGGGGGTTTAGGGTTCTTTTATGCAGACGGCAGCTGTCGGATTCCCGAGTCTGCGAGAGAGAGAGGGTTCTTTTGTTCGAAGTGTCAACCTGTTGCAAAAAGGGTTTAGGGTCCAGGGTTTAGGCGCGCAAATGCACTTCAGGGAGGTCCGGTTGAGCAAAGTGCGTGTGCTTCCCCTCTGGCACGGCGGATGTTTCCGGCATCTCCCTTGTGCATACCATCCCAGGCCACGTAGTGTATGTAAATGGTACTCTTTCAGGGGCCACTTTCAGGGCGTGGTTTGCACGCGAACTTAAACATCTGATCGTGGTTCTTAGGTTGCCTTGCTCTGCCAGTAGAGGCTACGATCAGAGATGTAATCGCTGCCGCACTAGATGTCTCCACCGCCCAGCGCGCTTTTGCGCCTCTGGATGACTACTTCTCTGTGGCCGCCGGCCGTGGCTTCGATTGCGTGTACAATGACAAGGCCTGCCGGCTGCCGGTGTAGTGAAGTGTGGACTTTATCTACGATTCTACGAGTAGAGTCTGAGTGGGTGGAGGCAGGGAGTTGCCGAGTGGGGGGGGGGGGGCAGGGTGGGTGAGTGGTGGGTGAGTGGGTACAACTCATATAATTCAGGTGACAGTTATATCTTCGAAGCGCTCATCGTCGGGGCACAGCTTAGCGGGAGGTGCACACCATGTCATCACTGTGTCGGCTGGCAGGTTTTGGAGTGGAAGCCTCACATACCAGTGCTTCTGCGACCGCTGGCACTTACACCACCTTTGGTGATGCCGTGCGCTGTAGAGCAAGCACAGCTTCTGTCTTCGACGGACGTTACGGCTCATGCTGTCAGGTACGTAGGTTCCATGTTCCTCAGCGACACGGCAAAGGCGAGGAAGCACTCAAGCAGGTCAAGAAGCCAAGGCTGAGTCAACAAACCCGAAACCCTAAACCCTAAACCCTAAACCCTAAACCCTAAACCCTAAACCCTAAACCCGGTCACCCCGGGCTTTGAGAGGTCCGCGCTGCGACGCGTTACGTGGAGGATCTCCCGGTGTCTGTTTCTGACGCAGATGAGTCGTAGAAGCTTCGAGGCTTTGAGTGCTACTGCGGTTGTAGATGGTTGTGGAATTGCCGGCTCTAGGGTTTGGAGTTCAGGGTTTAGGGTTAAGGGTTTAGGGTTTAGGGTTATTAAACGGGTTTAGTAGTTAAGGGCTCTTAAAGATGGAGATGCTGACAGCCCCAGTGTACCTCCAGGGCTGGTCCAGAATTAAAGGCAGCATGGTCAGGGTCTTCGGTTCGTGGTTCGTTTTAGGGTTTTAGGGTTTAGGGTTTTAGGGTTTAGCGTTTAGGGTTTAGGGTTTTGTGCCCGTGCGCTGCGTGCCCTGACGTGCACTCTCTGCTTTCAGGCAGGCCGGCAATCCGCTCGAGCTGCCAAGTTGCCTTCGAATATAGGACGGATCGTGTAAAAATTTGAAGTAGGATCTAGGGTGTGTGAGTGTCATGTGGTATGCTCTAGGGCCTAGGGAATGAAGGTGTTGCTAGCGAGGGGTGTTCACATCAGTGCAAGAACCAGCTCGCGTGGATTGCTTAAGCTGCAGCGGCAGCGCATGGACAAAAAAGAGGAAGTCATGAAGGGCGCATCTCCACCTTCTGTCCTTAGACAACGCAAAAGGCGGAACCCGTCCTAAACCCTAAACCCTGAACCCTAAACCCTGAACCCTGAACCCTGAACCCTAAACCCTGAACCCTAAACCCTAAACCTTAGGAAGGTTCAATCTCCCAGGCGCAGCGGGAGGATCGAGAGAAGAAGCTTGAGGAGATCGCAGGCTTTGGCTTCCATGGAGTGTAGGGGCTTAGGGTTCAGGGCTTAGGGTCAGAAAGCGCAGGTCCATGGAGTGTAGGGCTAGTAGGTGGCGCCTGGTTGGCGACGAAGTGTTTCCCTTCGCCTACGCACTCGCCTCCATACACCTCATGCACACGTGACAAGATCTTCTGGTTCAACGTTCAAAGTGTCAATAGGCGCCCTCACCTACTGCAAACCCTGAACCCTAGGACAGGGGAATGTGCTGGGCCCGTGGCGGCCTCCTTCCAGACCCCTGAAGTCGCTACTAGCCCCTAATTAAACCCTATAAACCCTAAACCGCGGTGTTACAGTCTTTCAAGCTTGAGGGAGGCTGAATATGCACAGAGACCCGGGTATCTGGGCTAGTTTTTCTGCCGTTCGATTAGAGATGGTGGTTAGCTGTTCTGCCGCTAAAAACTCGCTGACCACGAATTTTCGTTTGGCTTGTGCAAGTGTGAGTGATTAACGTCACTTCCAATGCGGTATGACGGGTGAGGTGACTCGGAGAAGTTTCGCCAAGAAGCGGCTCTGCTGAGGCAAAAGCTGGAGGCGGGTATCTCCGTCTCTGTCTCTATCTCTGTCTCTCTCTCTCCCTCCCTCCCTCTCTTGCGCTCGGACTCTCCGTCACTCAACTGTGTGCCGGGCATTTTTCACGTAGCTGCGACCCGTTCTGCCTTTTCAACACAACGGATCGCCCTAGCAGCTTTGCTCAAGTCCTCCTGTGGCCTTTCTTGGGACCCAAGGCCTTTGGCAGAGAAAAGCACCACACGCCAACGATCCTCTCCTCCTGAGCACCAAAACAAAAAGAGCCACCTAGGTTCCATGGATGGCTGGAAGAGCCAGTCACACAAAGACAGCTTTCATGGCAGCGCCTGGTCTGACGCCTCTTTGGCTGACGAGAAGGATGCGTTTGCTCGGAGCATGAGCCGAATGATGCGAAGGCTTCGCGAGCACGATTGGCGGCCCGTTCAGTATCGGGACGCTTTGGCCGCAACAGCACCTGCCCGAATCGAAGAGGAGCTGGAAGAGCCCAGGCCGCGATCCCGAATGCTGCTGACAAGGCCCGGAAACTTGAGCAACTTGGGCTCCGAGGAGGTCGGAGGCAAGCTGGAGCATCCTGCGTTGAGTGTCGACGCGGCGCAAGAGTTGATCAAGGAGTGGATGTCGGGCGCACAAAGCGCCACGCAGCCGACCTGCAGCAGTGCAGTCAGCCCACCTTCCACCACCCGCAGCAGCTCCGCGCGCAGCTCCGCGTCCCGCTGGATGGAACAGGAGCCCGCACTAAGAACCGAGCGGGGTCCTCGACCCCAGGAGTCCAACAAAGAGCAGGAGCTCCAGACCGAGCTGAATGACAGCCGCCGAGCTTTGGAGAAGATGGCACACATGCTCCACGACCGCGAGGAGCAGCTCCGGCTGGCAGAGAGCCGGAAGCCGGCTGCCCAGGTTGGAGCCGAATCACCTGATGCGAAGGCCGCGAAGCCTTCGGCGTCGAGCCCACCCGAAAGCACCCAAAGCGCGCAAAACACGCAGGGCACGCAGGGCACGCAGAGCACGCAGAGCACGCAGAGCATGCAGAGCATCGAGCAGGCTGTCCGCGAGCGGGCAAAGTGCGAGGTCTTACGCGCCGAGCTGGCCGAGCGGGATGTGGAGATCCAGCGGCTCCGCGCCTCGGAGCGCGCCACGGAGAAGCGAGCGGCCGAGGAGCTGAGGTCCGCGCGCCTGGAGCTGGCCGAGACGCGGCGGCAGCAGGAGCCTTGGGGACGAAACGAACCCTAAGATTCGAGTCATATACCCCATTACTACTCGAAGTCCTGTTCAGGTAATATGAGCCCTAAACCCTTTTAGGGGTCCCCTCAAGGAGATCCTCGGCCTGGAGATTCGCGAGGCGGAGCTGCTGCAGCAGCGCCCGCGGTCACTCCTGGAGCTCCTCGGCCTCCCTGCCGGCGCCCCGGCCGAGGCAAAGCGCGAGCGCCTGGCCGAGGCTGTGACGGTTCTCAAGCAGCTGCTGGGTCATTCTTGAGAGCCACTTTACATTGTTTCTGAGTATACTTAAGCCCCAATGAAGGAGCAAACAATACTTAAACCCAATTAAGTAGCAAAAATGATCATTTTTTAAAATAGTGCCCCAAGAATGGTGCAGGTTGGTGGAGGAGCTCGCAGCCCCAGAGCCGGAAGCTGGTTTGGAGGGCGTCTTCTCCCCACTGGGCAAGATGCCTTCCATTCCGGAGGAGGACTCCCCCGGGTCCTCCGTGAGCCCGTGTAGTCCAGGCAAGGGTACAATGCTGCCTTAGCTAGGGGGGAAGATGCATCTGGGACCATGGGGGCCGAGAAAGAGCCGCGGCGCGAAGTTCTGATGTTGCTTTCTTGGGAGATGCAGAGCTTGCACCAGCTTAGTGAAGGAGACGTACTCACATCGTCACTTCTCAAAAATGAATTGCTGCCCCTTCTTGGGTGTCCTTTCTTGAGGGGGGCGCCTTCGAAAAAAGGACCAGAAACTTCGAGAAGTGACTGTATATGCTGGGACCGATGCCGGGACTGAGCTTCTTGCCCCGCCCAGGCGCCGGCCAGGCGGCTGTCCGAGAGCCCGAGCTGTCAGCCCTTTAGGGTTTAGGGTTTAGGGTTTAAGGTTTAGGGTTTAGGGTTTAAGGAAGTTAGCGAGTTTTACTTGAACATCGTGAGAAACATGAGTACTTCTGGGTTTTGGGCTACGAGCCCACACGAGCCCACAGGTTTTGCTTCCATCTTGTGCGGAGCCATGAATCAGTCGCATGCCTATCACCTGCAGGGCACCACCTGGCTTGGAAGAGGCTTTGCAGAGCTCGGCTTCTCAGTCACCGGACTTTTGACACGCTGCCCACATGCGCTTTCACCCAAGACCTTTCCCAAGAGGGGCTCTTGACCAGGAGAGAGGGAGAGAGAGAGAGGGACGTCGTGTCGACTCCTCGAAGCCAATTGCTTTCACAGGCATTCCATGTGCAATAACTTCCCTAGACCTCACGGAAAGGACATGCGCACCTGCGCAACGAATACTACGGCTACACCCCCCGATGCAAGCTGGAAGTTGGAAAGCCCAAGGACATGCTTGAGTCTGTCACGCCACATGTTACTAGGACGGAGCTTCTACACTGCCATGGAAAGTGTTCTCTATGTCTTTACACGCCTCATGAGCTGCATGGCCAAAAACACCCGACATGTGCGCTGCATCGCCCGGCGCAGATTCTGCAGGTTCCGGCAGGCCTGGCGGTTAGGGCACATGTCGGCAGTTGTGCTCTGCATCTGCAGCATATACATATATGTATCTGTATCTGTATGTATGTATGTATGTATGTATGTATGTATGTATGTATGTATGTTTGTTTGTTTGTTTGTTTGTATATGTATAGATACATATATATATATATACACATATACATCTCTCTCTTTCTCTCTTGCAGGCTGAAAAGGTAAAGCCACCAAGGGTCGGGTCCCACTTTGCCTGCCTTTGTGCGGCGCTTCGCACCGTCAGTGCCCAACAGCCTCGCTCTGCGTTTTTCTGCTTCGAAGATCTGCAGCGGTGGTGCCGCTGCTGGGGAGAAGCCGCTTGACTGCATACTGTGTTTCCCGTGATCTGGCTTGCTCGCGCTGGAGGTAATGGAGGAAGAAGAAGGCACATCAATGTGGTAGGAAACATCAAATCCCACACAGACTTGGAGTTAGGGCCTCCCAATTCCCTGGCAATCTCGCCGCGCGAATCCATCTGCCGCTGTGGGCTCGATTGCAACCGGCTTGCTCAAGTGTAAGAGTTGATACGAGATGTCGTGGCCAAGGTGGGAGTGCCCGGAGTATGTAGGGTCATAGGGTTGTTTGCTGTAGCCGCATCCGACTTCAGGCTACTTCAAAGCCCGGCATCCGGACCTTACGGCACGGAGGGGTGTACCAAGTCAAAAACCCCCAACCCCCTGAACGCCTTGAACCCTGAATCCTAACCCCTAAACCCTAAACCCTAAACCCAAAAAACCCTAAGCCGACCACGCAAGACCGTGAAAACTCGGAGCCCAAGATCTTGAGAGCCATGCCACGACAGCGTGTCTGGCCAGGAGGTCATGATCCGTTCTAGGCCGGTACTCGGGTTTAGGGTTTAGGGTTTAGGGTCTAGGGTTTAGGGTTTAGGGTCGTTGGCTTCGGGGATTTCGGGTTTCGGAGTGACTCAGGCACCTCAGAGCTGATTTTGAGGCTATAGAACAACTGATTACCTGGTTCTTAGTAGGGGATTGAGGGATTTGTTACCTCAAAGGATCCTGATGGAAGGTAGCAAATTCCTACTAACAGCCAGTAGAACCAGGAGTACATATCCAGGGCCACGTTGTCTTAGGGTGGTGTAACCAGCCAACGCTACAAGACAAACTGCGAGAAGCATGTTGATAAACAGGAGTGTGTCACAGAGCATATGGACAAGTACATTACACAAACCCTAAACCCTAAACCCTAAACCCTAAAGTTTTGCTTCAGTCCTGGTCCCGATATTCCACCGAAGTGATGCCTTCCACGATTTTAGGGTTTAGGGTTTAGGGTTTAGGGTTTCTGACCTGGCCAAATTCACTCAGCTTAGGAAGTCCCGAACTGAGAGCCAGATCGGATCACCTGAAGCCCCTAAACAAACCTCCGAGAATATCACAACCATTATGCTGTTATTTGCAATGCTGTCGTGTTATCCTAAACCCTAAACCTTAAACCCTAAACCCTAAACCCTAAACCCTAAACCCATTATAACAAGCACGAAGACCGATGTAGGCACCGCCCTGCTGTCTTGGCCGTCACCAAGTCCAAGGGATCCATCCTCACACCGAAGGCGATAGGGGTTCAGAGCTTAGGTTTGGGTTTTAGGGTTTAGGGTTTAGGGTTTAGGGTTTAGGTTTAGGGTTTAGGGTTTAGGGTTTAGGGTTTAGGGTGAAGGGCGAAGGGCGAAGGGTGAAGGCTGAAAGGATGCAGGAGGTGGGGAGGGAGAGAGGCCGGGGTTTGAGGGTTTTGGGGGGCGCCTGGTGGTCTTTTTTGGCATGACTACATCTCGAAGAAGGCTCTGCGCATATCTTGGCGGGTCGTAGATCTTCGAGTTGAGAACGGCGTGTAGTTCGGGGGTTGAAGCCAGAAAGCTGTGCTGTGGTGAGTCTGTGCAAGAAGGGTGAGAATTTGATGGCTCAGCTGCAGCCGAAGAGATGCGTACACATGCCCGCGAGACACGACGTGCGTGTCTCCAGGTGGTTGCGAGTAGTCGCTCATGGGATGGCCTGCGAGTTGAGGTCTGTAGGGGGGCTGTGTTTGGCTGCTGCCCTGGAAGGCTTCAGCTTCCCTTAGTCTCAAGGGGAGGAATGTTACCACCCGATTGTAACAGCGAGTTCGGGGGGGGCTTTCCGAAGGACAAGGAAGCCGCAGTTCTTGGATCTCTGGCAGCTTTCAATCCTCCAACTTCTGGTCCTCAGTGGCTCTTATGTATGATCTAGAAGAAATGTATAAGATAATAGAATAAACGTATACATGTATATGTATTAAATGTGTAGCAATGCATAAGAATGTATCTGTCCTCATGCCTCGGGCTTTCGAGAAGAAAGGCTGAAGCTCGTGGCGCCTTCCTTTCAAGATCCAAACCTCTCCCTTATGTGATTACATGATTCTATGATCATAAGATTCTACGAGTATACGATTACATCAGTATATGAGTATATCATTACATGATTATGTCATTGTATCGTTTCATGGCTAAACTATGGAAGTTATTTCATATGATGACATGACTCTTATGTCACATGATATCCTTCAGACCTGGAAACCTTTGCCCGGGTCAGGGGATAATGGGTCTTGACACCCGCTAAGTGTTGCCATTTTTTGGTCAGGGGGATACCATGGAGCATTTGAAGAAACACTTGCTGCAGTTTAGCCGTAAGGCGCTGACGCAGCATTGGAAATCTGCGCCAGCCTAATTTTGCCATTGCCCTAAACCCTAAACCCTAAACCCTAAACCCTAAACCCTAAACCCTAAACCCTAAACCCTAAACCCTTTTTTTTGCCACAGGGTCGTCTCGATACGTGTCAAGGCTGTTGTCCGGCGGCCTGTGGTTATAGATTCCCATGCCGGCTTTATAGACTGAAACCGCATTGTTAAAACATGGGACCTTGTAGCGTTTGTTCCGACCTGATAGGGTTTTAGGGTTTAGGGTTTAGGGCCTTAGGGTTTGTTTGGGTAGTTTGAAAGCAGCTTTTGCAGATTTCCCTGCAGGCCAACTCGGACACTGCAGTCTTCGACTTGCGCGAGATCGAGCAGTTGGGATGCAAGGGCTTTGGGGTAGGGTTTAGGGTTTAGGGTTTAGGGTTTAGGGTTTAGGGTCTAGGGTCTAGGGTCTAGGGTCTAGGGTCTAGGGTCTAGGGTCTAGGGTCTAGGGTCTAGGGTCTAGGGTTTAGGGTTTAGGGTTTAGGGTTTAGGGCTTCCAGAGGTTGCAGGTTCTCATCAGACCCCCGCCCCCACAAGAGAGAGGCGACCAGGACCAACACCGCACCATGATTCCAGCCGCCGGCGCCTTCCTCAATGTGCTAAACCCTAAACCCTAAACCCTAAACCCTAAACCCTTTTTTACCTGGGAACCCTGCCAGTCAGAGTTTAACATGAAGTCTGCGTTGCCTTGGAAGGTGGAACTGGAGGACTGAGGACTGAGAGTGGGGCGGCAGTTACTAGATTGTAAGGAAGTCTACTGCTGGAAGGCCAGTAGTTTGAGGACCCTAAACCCTAAACCCTAAACCTAAGCTCTAAACCCTAAACCCTAAACCCTAAACCCTAAACCCTAAACCCTAAACCCTAAACCCTAAACCTGGGGAGTTTGCGTTTTCGATCGCCAGTCTGGATGTCTGAAGCCTTGCCCAGAACCGAAACTTTTTCAGGCCCGAAACTGAGCCCCTGAGCCCCTTGAAGCGCACCCATAAACCCTCCCCCCCCCCTCCTTCCCCCCAAAAGACGCTAAGCGCTCTAACCCCCTAACCCTAAACCCTAAACCCTAAACCCTAAACCCTAAACCTTAAACCCTAACCCCTCTAGCCTAGACCTTAAACCTTAACCGTGAACCCTGAACACCCAGGCAGCTGGACGATGATGAGGCTCAAGACGTGGCTACCGAGCGCCTGAAGGAGTGGCTGGGGCCGTTTCAGAAAGGCGCTTGTGGTTTGGGGTTTAGGGTTTAGGGTTTAGGGTTTAGGGTTTAGGGTTTAGGGTTTAGGGTTCAGGGTGATGACGGCTCTGGGGTAGTCAGGGACGTCGGGGGGTTAAGGG